GGGAGGTGGGGGCCGTGAGCATGCAGGAGGACGACGTGGAGCACTGGGGGAGGGCCAGGCGAGGGGTCTGATCTCAGCTCTGCAGCCCTGGGGAGAGCCCAGGTCCAGCTCCCAACTCAGAGTCCCTCTCCTGCATCCTGAAGTGGGGGAGGGGCTGGGTCCTCATGAGGTATAGAGATGCTGAGGCTGCCAGGTGCTGCCTGTTGGGGACCAGTGACGGGCCCTCACCAGGGTCTCTCCAGGAAGGCCCTAGGGGATCACATGGGGGGCCCTGGGACAGTGGCTCCGATACGATGTGCCCCCAAGCCGAACCCTACTGCGTGTCGTCTGGAGGTGCTGGACACTTTTGCCCAGGAGAACATCTACTCCCTATACAAGTACCACTTCACCAAGGGCAGCCATGTCCCCTCTGCCAGTGTTTCTGGCCCCAAGCCCCCCATCCAGCTCCATGGGATCCATCTGCCAGTGGCTGAGGCACCTGTACAGACAGCACAAGGCGGGCTTCAGACTGGTGTGGGGGTGCTGGCATGCTGCCCGAGGAGAGTGCACCTGGTCACGGGCAGGTGAGGAGTTGTGTCTGAACTGACTCCCCACCTTCCAGAGCAACAGCAGCGGTGGTGACTGCTTCCACCGCACCTACTTGTCAGGAGTGGTACCGCTTCCACCACATGGACATCCTGGCCCTACTGCCCACTGCCTGGGAGGACGGCCAGCACAGCAACGGTGGCCACATCATCTTGTCTTGCCACTATGACAGCAAGGACTGCCAGGTCTGGTGAGCAGGGCAGGGCGGCTGCTGTCCTTTGTCCCACCCAGTGGAGTGCAGTTCTATCCTGGGGTCTGGCTGGCTAGACACCTAGGCTGCCCAGGGCGAGCTGCAAACAAGGCAGGCATGGCCCCTCAGCATCCTGGGTGGGGAGGCAGGCCACAGGCAGGCCTGACCTGAGCTGGCCCCAGGTTCCAGGCACTTCCAGATGTCCCACCACCCCACCAACGGCCGCTGCCACACCTTGAAGGGTGTGGGGCCGCACAGCACCCAGGTATCACCCACAATGAATGAGTGCCAGTCCCTGGTGGGCATGTGGCAGTGATGGTGCAGGAGGGACGGGGGCTCACACCTCCCTCTCAGCTTCACCAGGTATGAGTCCGGTCCTCAGGACTGAGCTGCAGCAGTATCTCACGCTGCTGTCCACCGAGGCTGGTGTCAAGGTCATGGTTCACGGGCACAACCACACGCTCTTATTAGAGCACCAGGATTTCAGTATCCGGCCACAGTTGACATCCGAGAGGCAGGCGTGCTTGGGGACCCTCTGGGCCCACCACCCTGGGGGCCTGGGGGGCAGGGTCAGCAGAACTGAAACCCCTCCCCGCTGGACGTGGTGCGCAGAGGGCGTGGCCATGCCTCTACTGTACCACACCTCCGACACCAGGCTGGTGAGAGTGGGCGGGCTGGCGAGGTCCGGGAGCCGAGAGTGGTCCCTGCGCAGACAGGGCCTCCGCTCCAACTCTGCTGCTCTCCAGTCCGGCCTTCCTTTCAGAAACTGATAGTGGAGAACCTGCTCCTGTGCCTACCACCTCCACCCACTGCCTGCGGGGGCTCAGTCCTGCAGCCACGCAGCACCCAGTCTGGGTTGAGCCCCGCCCTCCTCCCCTGCAGAGGATGGCTGGATGGGGGGCTCCTAACCCTGGTGGCTCCTAACCAGCCCCCACGACCCTTCTCCAGGCCACTGCTTCTACCACCTCCTCCAGGACCTGGAAACAGACTAGCTGGCAGGCGCCTCCTGCTGTCCCAGGTCCTGCAGGTGAGTTGGGAGATGGGGCCCAGGGTCAGGGGTCACTGCCCTAGGCTGCTGCATGGTGTGACCACTGGCCTGTTTCTCCCAGGGAGTCTTCATACAAGCTCCCTGCGGGGACCTCTAGGTGGCCTTCAGCCAAGTCTGTGGTGAGCGGCCAGGGCATGGTGGGGGCGGGTTCAGCAGGCTCCTGGGTAGTCCCTGCCCTCACACCTGCCTGCAGTGCCCTCTGGAGAGGGGAGCAGTCGCTGTGCTTGGCAAGTGGGGCCGGTAGAGCTGGAGCCGCAGCCAAAGCTGCAGGTGATGCACCCCTTCCTCCAGGGGGTATCCCGGCCGAGCCTCTCCTGGGTGAGCGGCTCACAGCCGTTTCCACTCCAGCAGCAGTGTAGCCAAGGTGAATATCCTCTACCAGGAACTCAACTACCAAACGGTGGGTGAGTGACCTGAGATCCAGGGCTTGGGCTGGGGGAAGGCAGGGCAGCATCTGGCCACTCCCACTGGTGGCCACCACAGCGCAGCCCTGCTCAGAGGTTCCCAGGTGCGGGAGGCCCCCAAACCCCACTCATTGTCACCCACTCGCAGATTCCCCAGCTGCTCTCAGCCGTGGGCAGCCTCTGGAGCCTGTGGTTTGGCTCATCAGTCCTCTCTGTTCTTGAACTGCTGGAGTTGTTGCTGGACACCACGGCCCTAGCCTTCCTGCTGGGCCTCTATCGGCTCTGCAGAGCATGGGTGTCCCAGCCTGGCGCCATACCAGTCCTGAAGCCCGGGGACTGCAGGC